GTCGAAATATAATTCATTGAATAATCTCTACTTATAAACAAAAGATAACAAGGTTAAAATTATCTCTTATTTACGTATTTAATGTTTAATTGCTAAAACATCGTCGGCAACATAAACGCGTAGCAGTCCACGTGTAGCAGTCAGTTAAAAATAATTGTGACGCTTTATAGAATCGAAATCGAACCGCGACGTGTCTATATTGCACGTGGATTTACACATCGCGATGCAGTGGAGATTCTAAAAGCGCACACAACAACTACGTCCGCGCGTATCGACCATCAACGCGAAGTTGTCGAATGCGTCGTCGACTTTGCCTGCACTTGAGAGGTTCCCACGATGTTGACGAGTTCTACGTTTCAAACAATGTACGCCGCTCGTTGTATATTTCTCGCCCGTCTGTGTTAACCGAGGCCGTGTCAGTTCGATGTACATGATCCCCCGCGGAATAGAAAAGATTACTGGCTATTGGAAGGCTGACTCTTCCCGCTTTAGCTTACGATACCGGGAAGGTTTCCAATCGACAATCGTGGGAACATCCGTGAGCTCGTGCAATGTGCCGCTTTCCGCGATACTTGACGCCAGATTTCGAGATCGAAAATCTCAAGACGTCGAGTACAAAAGAAAATACCGCAGAAATATTAAAAAAAAATATTTACCACGAAATAATGTCGTGGCTGAGCTAGAAAATTTGTCGCGACTAAGCGGAGAAGATTAAAGATTTCAGAAAAACGTAGAATCCACCGGAGTCTAAATAATTAGATTTTATTATTATTATTCAAATGCGACGCGAGTGTGTGTAAAAATTCTTTTTACTTTCGATCGCTTGCAATTCCAAAAATGTATCGGAGCATCGTGACAGATATTGCTTCGAAATCATTCAGAGAATCTGCGATTATCAACTTAGGGGAGGTTTCGATCATATGAATGCAAGGATGAAGTATACTTATGTAACAAGTGTGCACGTGCATTCTGGATTAATAGCACATAGTAGTTATTGAATAACGCACTTTAGCTCTTACGTCTATATTAACCCGCGTGTCCCCCAAGCTTGCTCATCCATTACGATCCTCCAGATCCCTCAAGAGGACATTAGAAGATCTATTCTGACAGACTAATTTAATAATGGCTGCTATTAATCCGTTACTATATGTATACATAAGAATTCGTTTGGTAGAACAATAAATCTAAGAAAATATTTAATTACTTTTAATTATGTTATTTATGACAACCTCGCGAGAGAAGAATATGAACCGTAACGTAATTAACGACATTATTTTATAGGAGTAAAATTAGATGAAGAAAATTACATTTTAATTATTATATAGAACATCTGGAATTTCACCAACTTTCGCAGTTATATTATACGTCTCACAGATGTACTCACGCCTATAAATCGTAATATAATAATAATTTATTGTGTTATAATTTAATTTCTACTTCTGAATTTAATTTTTATTACAGCTGTTATACGTACTTTATTATCTCTATTTTGATTTAGATGATTATTTATTTAGATTTATAGTTTTTGAAATTTAGACACGTGTAGATATCCTAAAGTTAATTATAACTTATTTTTCAGGAGAGGCTTTTGCTCAGCGTATTACCAAGGCACGTCGCCATGGAGATGAAAGCCGATATAGCGGGAAAGCCGAAGGACACGATGTTTCACAAAATTTATATTCAAAGACATGAGAACGTCAGGTACGCGCTGCGCGCTGATGCGATGGTCCGCGAACGAATATCAGCCACTTAAGGCGCGCACCTTAAAAAGAATCGAGGTGTCACTTCGATAATGTCACGTTGACATTTTGCAAATGAGACCCAGTTTTGCTTTGTTACTAAGCTCAAAGGAATTTACATAACTATTTTATACTTTACGCTCTCTATGCATGCCCGCTACTTGAACTGAAATTCGCGGCAAGTTAAACTTTGTAATCCTTGCTTGCGGCATAAACGGCAGACTTTTTGCCCCGTCATAAAATCTGCACGTTTTCGGATTTTAAACTCTTCGTAAAATACACGCTACGTTTAGTCAAACGCAGTTCGCTGGAAATTATTGACAAATCAGAGGAATGTAGTTTGGCATAGTTTATCATCGATATTGTAACGTCACCGGGATTATTACAAATAATTACACTATCGTGAGCACATTATGCAGTATGTATGAGATGATATGCATGATCGTCCTGAAATGCACTCACGCCAGATGCTTCAAAACTTGACGATTTATCACGGTGCTGTGCACGCAACATGATAAGCACACGTGGCTGCATAGAGAGAATTCTAGATTGGTTTGAAGTGGGTTGAGATGTTACAACCAATCTCTCGTATCAGACGTCTCACCGAGCTCAGGTCAATCTAACTTAATCGGCGAATTCGCAAAGAGCAAATGCCATGTTCATTTAACTTGACGGAGTTTCCGCGAACTTGCGACAATTTTTCCATTTCTAGTTTCCCCTTTCGAAAATGTATGACTCGCGACTTGCCCGTGGCTAATTCGAGGCCTGTGTTGATGTTAAAGTAATTACGAAACTCTACAAAAGTACCTACTCAGAGACCGTAGCCGGGGAAATTAATTTTCAAATTAATTCACCTAAAATAACTAATTTTATTATTACCAAATATTTCAGCATTTTGTTCGCCGATATCTGTGGATTTACCTCGCTCTCCGATCAATGCACTGCCGAAGAGCTCGTCAGATTGCTCAACGAACTTTTTGCACGGTAAGAAATATAATAATAGAATGTAATAAACAATGTGCGATATAACAGAACGCGTATTAGAATAAACAGTTCTTAATCAAATTGTCAGCGTCGTTGATGATTTTAATAAAGATAATAAAATATAAAAAATTATATCATAATATAAAAACTCTGTACATCATTTTGTGCTTTTCTCAACAAATTCTCAATTAACTTCTCGCTAATCGCAAATTTCTCCGAAAGAAATACGGCTATTAAGTTAGTATTTTCAAAAATAAAATGCCATTATTATAACTTTTGGGAATTTACTACTGAGAGAGTCAGGAAAATGCTACTTAAGCACGGTCAATAAATCTTAAGAAAATCGCCGAGCGATTCTACTTGCAATCATGCGCACACTGAAATTTTTTTCTATTTTTATTTACTAGTCAGAAAATGTTTAGAAGAATCGTAGCCGATTACTATATCCACGATGTGTATTTCCACCCATTCGATTCGATCGAAAAATCAATTTCTTTTCGTTTCCTTCCCCCAACTCTATTGTCTCTGATCTCTTAAGTCTTGTAAACACTCTTGTTCCTCCAACAAAATCTTTTGTATATCAGCGAATTCTTTTTGAAATTTCACGGAGAGATTGTCAAAAATCAATTTGACATCGGAATGTGCTTGTATTTCACAAGCCATGAGTTAATTTTAATATTAAATTAATATTATCGAAAATCTGTCATTATGTTTTCTTACAGAAAGGACCTACAAGATTTCAATAATATAATTTTTTAAATTCGCGGAAAAATTATATTCATAAAATTATATTCCGTGCGTTGAATCAAGGTTTGCATTCATTAAGCTGCACTTTCTAATAAATATATTATCAAATGCTGCATTTGTATCAAGAGTGTCTCTCTTCGCTCTTAAAGCTTCCCTCGATCGTATTCCTTATGTCCTACAAGTGCTCAGAGTCTTTCGATAGCTATGGATTTTGCGTCCCCAGTGACTTTTCGGGTCAATAGGGTGTACTTATCCTACTACCAGGAGGGATTTGCTAAGAGGTCATAAAGACCGCTTTCATTCCACACGATGATGTCCGCTTTTATGTATCAGTACAGCAGAGATCACTTTCCAGTAGTCTGCGAATGAAACGCTTTCAGCCCCATGGGAGAAGACAGAAAAGCCCCTTCAAAAAAAATGTTCGGGACGGAAAATAGGGAGTGACAAATGATCAATGTGTAAACAACGTCGAATCTTCATGAAAAATATGAGATGACATTTCTGCGAACCGGCTTCATTCAAAAATTACATTGGACATACATGTATATCCATTGGATATTAAGCAGATCGAATTAACAAACTAATCATCGGGCATTCTTTATGCAAAGTGTATTTGCCAAACACACACGGTCTTTTATGCATTTTATATGGCGCATAAGTGGATAGATGTTGCGTAATACGGTTATATTTCAATGTTAATATTAAAGTGGCGGAACTCTATTATCTCAAAGACTTGGTGGTAATGCGTCAATAATTGATTTAATTACCATTTGAGTTGCGTATACGTAACTCCGTCGGGGACTGTTATTTTCTGCGTATCATACTAAACTAGATTAACATAATATACACTATGCGTTATGTGGATTTGGTGCACGCGTGAAATATTAATATCGCCCTTCTCTCTCTTGGCGCCCTGAATTAATTTCGTATAATATGCGCGACGCGGAACGACGTTGCTGAATATCTAATCTGAATAAACCGATTATCCCCCGGTTTATTAGTGTCCTTACTTTTGTTAACGCGTCATCTCTCTGTCATTACAAATTAATTTAACGCGCGCACCGTATTTATCCCATATAATTCTATTCGGTGTCGATGTTACGTGAAGATTACGTGAAGAAAGATAACGCGAGGTGACGATAGCATTAGAAATTTTGTTAGAGATTCAATAACAAAAAAGAATGTAATGAAAAAAGTCGACAAGAAAAATGCGACAAAGGTGAAAAAGTTAATATTGCGTGCCTAGGCACAGGAAAATATTACAAAAGTTTCGCCAAGTGTGGGGTTACGTGGGAAAAGGTAACGAGTATTTCTATACGCGTTGTTATGAAACGTAGAAGTTGGTTTGACTGGCAAAAGCCGGAGATCTACATAATATTTCCACGTAAAGCGCTCCTTTCCGATTTCTCTGAGGTAGAGATGCCCACGCTCAACAGTTAAATTTCCTTGATATTGTAAATTGTTACGTATTGAATTCTCGGAAATTTCCCGCAGGTTCGACAGGCTAGCCGCTGAGCACCACTGCCTCAGGATAAAGCTCCTCGGAGACTGTTACTATTGCGTTTCCGGACTTCCGGAGCCACGGCCCGATCACGCTCACTGTTGCGTAGAAATGGGATTGGACATGATCGATGCAATAACGTAAGTCTATACATCCCTTCGCCTCTCGCGCAATAGTTTCGTCAAGCTTTCATTATAATCTTTTTGTCAAAGAACAATATGATATTTTCTCCATTACACGCCGTATTTAAGATCAATATACCATACATACATAAATAGATAAAGTGTAATCGATAACCGCGTCCTGATTTAGAACGCGAATAAATTTAATTGCAAAATAGCAGAATAAATCTGTCACGTGTTCTATCAACAACATCAAAGATCTACGTAATACTCCTTATCTTCGCTTGATAGCGAACGAAGGGAACACAAGACAGAAATAGTTAAAGATAAAATCTCAAAAGCCGCCGAGAAGAGGAGATAAATAAATAGATACAAAGAGAATAAGAAAGGAGTAAGAAGGTCACAAACTAGGTAGGTAGATCAAAGCAACATCTGACCAATAAAGATGTTTTCGCTTAGATCTATGAGACGACCACAGAACTTCCGGCGAAGCTGTATCTGCGCGCTACATATCCCATGTTTGGTTCGTTTCGTGTTTTCATAAAACGCGTTTCATCATCAAAGAGGAGATTTCCTCGGAGAGTGCGATATACGTGCGATTGAGGTCGATTCGCATCGTTATGAAAGGTCCCCGGTACCCACACAGGTCGCTGCATGCAGACGAATTTCTTACGAGCGTACGAGTTTAAATTTCAATTTGATAATCTTGCGTTAAACCTTCGCCATAAGTCTCTTTTAATCGAGCTGGCCGCTGCTTCATTCGCGATCGAGATACAATAGCTTGCTGCATGCAAAACGTTAAAGTAAGTCAAGAAATTGTACGAAACGCGTTTGGGAAGCCATGCACGTAAGAAAAAGATTGATGAGCCAGTCATTGTAATCGAGGACCAGCTCGAATGGGCGACTTTGTCGCAAAAATCAACATTTACACACAAGTGTTCCTTTCTTCTTTCGTTAATAACAAAAATACTCGGAAACTTCTCCGACGCTCCGAGGCATCGGACACTGAAATAATCACTTGATGGCGAGAAAGTTTGTTCTCGTTGTCACAAACTCGGACGATAGTTATCCATCTACGCCTAATGACGGGGGAAACAATAAATTCTCGCGTCCGTATCTCCCTAGATTGGTTCGCGAAGTAATGGCCGTGAACGTGAATATGAGAGTCGGTATCCATACGGGCCGGGTTCACTGCGGGGTTCTCGGTCTGAGAAAATGGCAGTTTGATGTTTGGAGCAACGACGTGACCCTAGCCAATTACATGGAGAGCGGAGGCATACCCGGGTGAGTACAATTTTGCTCGAGGTTTGTCAGTCCTCGACTGACTTGCCCTCTTCAACTTAGCCTCGATTGGCGGACGGTATAAATTACGTCGGTACATCCCGCACAACTTCTGCGCACTTTACTTCGATTTGTGTAAGGACCTTTCGGTCCTTTGTGCGTAAAACTTTACGTAAAACCGTATCGCAAACATATGCTTTTCGAAAGGCAGTTTTCTTAATATCGGGTCGTTACATGCCGACGAAGTTAATATTTAACAGAAGGTATGGTGTTTCGCAGGCGTGTGCACATCACAAAAGAGACTCTGGATTGCTTGGGCGGGTATTATGAAGTCGAGGAAGGCCGCGGGGGTGAGAGGAACGCGTACTTAAAGGACCATAACATCAGAACCTACTTGATTGTCCCGGGAGACACATTTAAGGATAACATAACTAGTTCTGGGATGCGAAAAACCTTCCCGGCGAATGGTAATGTGTCCAAAGAGATGAGAGTTATGGGCCACGGTTCGCAACATGGAAAACACACTAAGTAAGGAGCTCCTCTGTTATTTCTGCTTAATTTCCTAACCCTTGACATTACAATGCCACGTAATACTACAGTTTTATCGCCTAAATAATTTCCAAAATTGCCTTTACGAGACAGTCAAACGCTACCTAATTCCGTCTCAATTAGAAAGCAATCATAATTATTACATTTTTACATCGTAAATATTGTCCGATTTCGCACAGGCAGCTGTAAAATAAATTCACATTGTTCGTCCTTAAAAAATAAGTGACGCGATGAGTAAAATAAAAAATTGTACCTATATCGTAGTAGAGAATAGATAAAGTAACGTGCTAATCCGTAACAGATGTTACGATGGAATTACACGATGAATAAATGCGCCATCGAGTAAGCTTTACGATAGCGTTTTATACTCGAATAATACTTGTTGCGTACGTTTCAACAGATTAGGCTTCGGTGAAACCATTGAGTGCGATAAGGATCCCGAAGATGAAGTGAACGAATACTTGATGAGAGCGATCGATGCTAGAAGCATAGATCGATTGAGAGCGGAGCATTGTACGCCGTTTATATTGACATTTCAAAGACCAGATGTTGAAGAAAAGGTAAATTATATTCCAAGACGCATAATGTTCTCCGAATCAAAATGGATATCGATTATCGTAATATATTCAACTTGTTATAGAATGTTTACCGTTTTCTTTTTACGGTTTTATCTAATAACTTTATTCGATAAAATAAAACTCAATATGAAACTGTAACTTGACTCGTTAATTAACGCAATTGCGTTCACTAAAAAATTCTATTTTTATGGAATACCTTAAAAGTTGCATTTACAAAAAAAATTTTGTGATTTCCGATTTTATTCAGAAATGTAATTAATTCAAACAGAAATAATATTAGAGGTGAAACGCGAGTTGTAATTGCGTATTGAACTGTCCTCGTATACAATCGAGCACGACCTACCAATCGATGCGGTAATTCACGTTAATAGAAGGTCGTTTAAATTTAATTTCGGTTAATTCGCTAAGCGTGTATTTGGATTATTCGGATTCCGCGTGATTGAATTGCGCGTCGTAATCGATTTAACGGAATTCTGCAGTTTCTCTTGCGAGAAGAAGTCGGCAACGAAATTGCCCGCGATAACCGATGATTAAAAGCGCGTCCGCTCGCAGTAAACACAGCTCGTATACTGAAACGTCGAAAGCAATGCGTGATATTGTTTTAATAACCTGTTGCAGTACTCGCGCGAGAGGGACAGGATGCTCTCGGCTTATTTTGTGTGCTCCGGTTTCGTCTACATGGTCGTTGTGGTCGCAATAGCCATCACCCTCGCCGGGTAAATACACGTGCCGATAAATCCTACCTTCTATATAGTTCGGTAGCGATATCTTTCTTTTACTACACTCTCGAGACCCGATGTGTAGAGTCTACTCGTACTTTACTAACGTCGAATTGTTCTCCGTTCCAATATTTATAGACACTTTTGCGAAAATCGTTCGATAAGTTAACGTAAGGCGACATAAATCTGACGACGACGGTTGAAAAATGTTTGGCAAGAAGAATCTCGTGAAAAATCGCGTTAAAAATATCTCCTTTGTCCCCGTAGGAGCATATACTTCTACATCTGCACGGCGATTAGCATACTGGTGATAGCCCTGGTCAATGGCATTTTATTGGCGGAAAAGAACGAGGTAAGAGCTTACAAGTGTCTCCGGGTATATACCTTGTATTTACCGGCAACATATTCTTTCGAATGCACGTACAAGTTTCCCCCCGGAAACGCTAAGCTACACACTCGCAATTGCTTCCTTCCTCGCGGCTATCATGTGAAGATATACGTCCGTGTGTATAATTGCGGTTTATATAAATCGCGCGATATGTCACGTATGACGTCGGATCGATGGCAAAACTCTTTGGAAGAGTGCCACTTCCTTTTGACCCTGACCAAGTGGCAAGCTTCCAGGTCACTGCCGAAACCACAGCGATCCTGGTCGCAGCGCGCCCACTAATCTCCCGATGATCCCGCGGATCATGTCCTTTATTTATCCGGTTTAATTAGCCGAGAGAAAAGCGGATAATCGTTGCGGGTGTTGCAGAGGGTGCCAGAATGGGTGAGAAGCATGGCGTTACAGATCTTCGAGAATCGCATCATCGCGCAGAGTATCGCGTCTATCGTCGTGTTTCTCACGTTCATCACGGTATTATCACCGCTGGTAAGTAATCGAAATTTCATGCGGCTGTTGTTTTCACGTTTCACGTCAAATTTCGCCACCTAAACATTCCTTGGCAGCGATAGAACGACATTCCGAATATAAAAAAAATATTCGCGTCACCTTATTTTTACGATTATTGCAATAGCACGAACTTCGAAACCTCGGAAATATTCACGTGGACAAATGTTTAACGTTCGAACAAGTTCAATAATGTGAAAATTTTAATATTCAGGAAACCAAGAAATATAAGATCCATTAGCCTTATGAGACATTAATCACGCGTAATATTGAACAAATGATTTATTCGTAACTTCGCCGAGCTTTCGGCATATGCTTTTCCCTCCCTCTCTCTCTCTCCCAGTTTCATTTTTTAAATTCAACATCTCGGTGTTTGCTTCGGTAAACTCGTTATGTCAAAACTATAGCGCATAAATCAGAGCCTGCGACACTAAAACTTTTGGCGATAAATCGAACGCGAGCGTCGAGACTGCGATTAATCATATATGCCGCGGAATAATAGTTGCCGCGAACATTCGCGATAGAATCACATGCGGAAAGAACATCGACAGATTGTGCATTTACTGCACAAGCGATCGAGACGTTCTGCGTAAAATAATGGCCGGTCCGTGTCATTTTTTTTCTCGCTACAGATTACGCTGACCGGAAGTGAGGCTTGCGACAACAATAACACGTCCACCGACGAGCGGCTGAGAGGGAATCCCAGCGTAATGAAAGTACCAACAAAGAGTACCGGCATCTGTGATTATATTCTTTTCTGCGACGTAAGTTAAATATAAACGTGGCATCGGCATCGAATAGAAAGACATTTGGTTATTAAATGAGCCTTCGCTCGAGTCCGCGAAGTCGCGAAAGGCACGCGGATAATAAGGAAAGAAATTAGAAGTACTTCGAAAGAAGAGGTTACACTTGCGATCCCCTAACTGACGGGGAAAAAAACACTGTGCAAGTCTAACGAACTCATAATCCTATAATGAAATATTATAATCCAAAATTCACGTGTTAAACTTTAAGCGATCAAAACGATTAAATTTGAGAAATGATAACATATCTACAATTGGGGAGCGCATTCGTTTTTCTCGCACGATTCTACGTTAATAGGAGACTTTTGGCACGAGTAACCGTAGAGAGCGATTTTAACGAAACCAGAAAAATCGACTAACATTCCGCAACTATCACTGATTGCAGTTGTTTCCGGTTCTGGTGATGCTAGTGATGGTAACCTGCGCGGTATATCAGATCCTAACGCTAGTCTTTAAAGTAGCCGTACTGAGCATCGTCGTGGCTTGTTATCTCGGGGTCAGCATTTACCAGGCACTAAATGAGGACAACGTCGAGCCCACTGGAAGATGGTTGGCGGGTGTACTAGTGGTTTTCTTCATGGCCTGCCTAGTAGCACACTCCCAGCACACAGAGGCGACCTACAGGTCGAACATTCGAACGCGTTTACACTTTAACATTTCGCCCCCACCTCCTCCTTCCCCGAAACTTACGCAACGTCAGCTCGTAGATACATCCCGAACTTGCACGTTATAAACCTTTGAGGCCCTCGTGGAATTTCCCACGAGGGCCTTTATCTCGTAGCGAACAATGTCGTGGATCGACGATCTCATGAACTGATTCCCGCAGAATAATTTCATAGTCGAGATAGATGCCGCGTGTCTGTCTAGAGAGGTGCGCGAGTAAATTTATACTGGATACTTTATGAATATATTGACATTTCGAAATCTAATTGAAGCAAATATGTTACTCAAAAGACGTGCGCCGGGTGTAGATTCATAAAAATCTGATTACAATTGTGTTTGAAAAATGCGCGGCATGCACAGCGATGGGCAGAATGGTTGTTTTTCTTTTTATTTTCCTCGGAAAAAATGTTTCGGAACGTAAACCCGAATCTAGATGCGCGTGCCTAAACTCATTGAAAAAGAAGTGTCGTATTCTGTCCATCATTGTACACATAAAAAATTCTAAAATCACAGATATCAATATACTTCATAAGACCTCTCGAGAACGTAATGTAATTTGTTGAGATATTTTTCATGGCAGATATATAGGCGAGGAATATTGACGTGCACTATGTACCAATACAGATTGGATTTCCTGTGGAAGTTGCAAGCGACCGAGGAGAAAGAGGAAATGGAACACTTGAAGGCCTACAACCAGAAATTGCTCGCGAATATACTTCCGGAACACGTGGCCGCCCATTTTCTGTCCACTGTTAATTCAGACGTAAGTTCCATCAAGAGAATTCGAAAAACAATTTTTTTTAAATACAATTTTCTGAATGCACAAAGCACAGCATCCTAAACCATTTCGTATGACAATCCACACTTGCCGCATAAAGATCGCTTAGATACGCGCATCTTGAATATCGCAATTTGACGATTCAATTAAGGATTGCCCTTAGAGTTTCAAATTTTCGCCCCAGCTTTACACATAAGATATAACGAATGTTACCTATTACATCTCCGTGTGAAATAAAACAGTTTAGATATTTCAATGGTTTATACGTTTGGCCTAATTACCGATCGATTTTTGTGTATCTTGATACGTGACAAGTGCTCGAGATACAATAGACATAAAGACAAAGACTAAGCCACTCATAATACATTCTGCCATTTCTTAACGAGGTTACATGATTATAGATTGCACAACAATTTGCAACTGGAAAACAATGTATATAGAATAGAGGCTTACTGTGTATACAAAGTTCACTTTAATAAAGTTAATTGCGTTTCATCTTTCTTCCAATTTACGTGCTAGCGACATTTTCGTAAAAGCATTTGTCCCTTCGCTTTGCCGTTCTTCCTCTAATTAAATCGCAAATATATTAACCATTAATCCCAAACAATTTCGTACGACAATCCTCACTTGCCGCATAAAGATCGCTTAGATACGCGCATATTTAATATCGCAATTTGACGATTCAATTAAGGATTACCCTTAGAGCTTCAAATTTTCGCCCCAGCTGTACGCATAAACTAAGAACATCTGACAACCGACGTGTTAAATCCTCCAATCTCCAGATTCCAGACTGAATTCCAACAATATGTACACCTATTTGCTTAATTTGTGCTGTCCTGCGACAAAAGCGATTCTAAATTTGATATACCAAATTAGAAACTAGATATATATGTATAAATTTCAACGCCGTTTGTACGAAATTCAGTCCTGACTTATTTCCGTAGAAAAGCCGAAACGACCAAAATAAACTTTCAGAATAAAAAATTTTGCACGTACCGAAAGTTCAAAATTAAAATGATCGAAATAATTGTTGTTTATATAAATTAATAATGACTGTCTATCAGTGGCAAGACTGAAAAGCAAGATTGCCACGAAATATTCCAATCTTTTGCCAAAGGTTTCTATCTAAACAGGGATGTGTCCAAAACTATGACGTCGATTGTTTCGCAGGAATTATACCACGAACAATGCGACTTTGTGTGCATCATGTTCGCCTCGATACCGAATTTTTCCGAGTTCTACGTAGAGCTCGAGGCGAATAACGAGGGCGTGGAATGCCTCAGGCTTCTCAACGAAATCATCGCGGACTTCGACGAGTTACTCGCCGAGGAGCAATTTAAGTACATCGAGAAGATCAAGAGTACGGGCGCTACGTATATGGCCGCTTCGGGTATGTCTCTTGCGAAGTCTTGGCGGTATCGCTACTCGACGAGCCTTTCGTCCGTTTTGCTCTCATTTCCGTACCATCGGCTCTTATGCTGCTTCAGAAGAGAACGGCACTGCGCGTGCAATTAATCACTAGTCGATCGAAATTAATCGAATTTGATTCTTTCCAGCGTACGCTGGTAACTAACTTATCTATTTGTTATCGCCACCAAATGCAGTCTGGCATTAAGCTCACGTCAAAAATTCCCCGTTTTAACTCTTGCGATAGAGTTTCTCTTAGTTTCACGAAGGCAGATCTAATTTCCTACGGCTACTTGACTTTTCGTGCAATTTCCTAACAATTTCCTAACAACGCGGACTCGTCATTAAAATTAGGACAATGCGATCGAGACACCGCCATCGTCGCAAAGTTCACCCTTATCTCTCTCTCCCTCCCTCTCTTTCTGTTGCTTCAGGCCTAACGAAAAGCACCTGCGACATGCGAGATTTCAAGCACGTAGTCGCTATGGCGGATTACGCCCTACGAATCCGCGAGCAGCTGGCCTATGTCAATGAACACAGCTTTAATAACTTCCGTATGCGCGTGGGCATCAACATCGGACCGGTAATGTTGAAGAACGTGAAGCGAGCAATTTTCGCACGCTGTACCATTACGTCCATTGTAAATGACTCATAAGTTAAACGCAGCGACGAAACGCACGAAAGAGAATTCGAAAATTGACAACTTGCAACAACAATGATTTAAGCAAAATAATATTTTCTATCACTTTTAAATTAATTGAGAAGACAGAGAATGCGCTTGATACCAATTTCTCTGAAAATTTTTATGCACAGATTTATTTGGTACATCTTGAAAACTGTTTGGTGTATTAATTTTTAATCGTTTTAACACTGAAGGTGACTCAACTTTAAATGTTCCCGCGTTAAACGCACAATTCCTCCGCGACATTCTCTCATAGCACATCGAATTCTTACTATTTCGTCCGCATAGCACTCGAACCCAGGCTGCGAGAAAGAAAATCTCGGCATAGCTGTCGAGAATTTTCAAAGGAGAAAAGACTGAATACGCGACGTGGATTGCGCAGGTGGTCGCCGGCGTGATCGGTGCCAGGAAGCCACAGTACGACATCTGGGGCAACGCCGTGAACGTGGCCTCCAGGATGGATTCTACTGGCGTATTAGACGGGATTCAAGTCACCCAGGAGGTTCACGATATTCTGGTCACTAAAGGATATCCGCTCACGTGCCGCGGAACGATCCAAGTCAAAGGGAAGGGCAGTATGATAACTTACTTCCTGGACGGGCCGAGGGACAACACGAAGTCTAACCAAATGGATATCATCAAGACGAATTCTAACAACAACACCGACCCCGCGGAGAAAACGGTCGTGAACAATAGCGGCGGGGCTGTCTGATTGGTATTGCTTGTCCATTAATTCAACAATTAATATTAAAAACGTTTTCCCCAAATCTATTCCTCTTTTTTTTAAGTGAAACTTATCGTAGATCTTGACAAGCGATAAACAAATAATTGATCTTATTTTTTTGCATTCAAATACTTTATTCGAATATCCACGATTAAATTATTTAGTTGAAATAAAAATAACAAAAACGCGAAAAATATCGCCGAGCTCGAAAGAAGAAAGTTATTTCGTGGTTGGACTTCGGAATATTCATTCGAATCCCGACTGATTTGCCGAACTCGTATGATGCATGTTTGGCGCAATTTACATTGTGGCGTCACAATTGACTGCATAATTTCGCGATAAATTTGGATTTGTGAAGAGAGAAGGAACGCGAAGGGGTTTATTATCTTGGGCGAAGTACATACCTCTAGTAATACACGATCGCGAATATCTATCCGAAATATTCTGCAAATTGCTGCCAGAATATGCGAATACTGTACCTCGTCGCGAGCCTTGTAACTTTTTTAACGATACTTTCAACCTTTCTCTCATATACATTAATTGTTAGTTTAAAAATGTCATCGTTCATTCACTTTCTGAACTATCCATTTAATGCATGCTACGTAATTTTATGTTATTAAAAAGTTGAAAAAGTATTGCTACTCTTAAAAATTTCATTTAAATCGATACTACTTTACAGCCAAGTATTTCAATTGATTGAAAAACAAGTGAAACTATTTTATTGGCTTTTCCTTATGTTTCATCAGCTTCAATAAATCGATTTGTTAAAACGCATGTTTGCATAATTCGCGGTACTATCTGCACACACCTTCCAGAATATATTTTCACTTCGATATCTCTTTCGCTAAATATTAGAAAAGCAAATTCCTGCATGAATAACCCAAGTATTGTCTCCAATGTGTTTTTCTTCAGATACTACGTAAATATTTCTATTCATTATTTTGTATTTATGTTAGCCGTTAAAAAATGTATTCCCCGCCGTGATCGCGCATTGTATCTTGCTAACATAAAGCTACCAATACATCAAGCTGCGACAATTTGCCACGGAATTGAAGTGTCCCTGTAGCTAGGGGGTTGTTATGTAACACTTTCAACCATGTCGCATCAGGCAGATACGCGTATACTGGCGAGGACACGTGCACAATCAGTTGCACAACGGACATTTATTGCGCGAAAGCAGACCTCGTTATCACGAAAATTTTCCACTTTCGTGCGAGACGCTTCGTGCGCGAGGTGTAGCGAGCAAAAAATTTTGTCGGCATAATATGACGCATACAGATATAAATTCATTAAATTAATAAAACGCATTCTAAACGAGTTACAAGGCTGGAAAAAAAACGATGATTGCAAATTTAACTATACAAGTGGCATCGCAAATTAAATAATGCTATATATTTTTTATATAAACACTATATGTATATTTTAATACATCAATGTGCTATCAAAGCTGATAAAATTTACGAAAAAGTCAATAAAATATTTTTATTGACTTAGTTATCACTAAATTGAAATACTTTGTTTGCTGTGAAAAACGCGATATTTCTATTGATGTTTTTTCACTTTTACAATTTACGGAATGGTAATACGAATTTAAGTCACGACGGGATTGTAAAAAGTCATTAATTCTTGGGGAATTAATACTTAAGTAATCCAACAACTCGATCTTCCCTTATAAACGTAATCAAAGATTCAATTAACGAGCAGTGTACCATAGAAAATTGAAACTTTCGCTAAACTCAACATTAATTTCAGGTTGAGTACAAATATTTGAAGTTAAAAAACGTAAAAAGGTGGAAGCCCTGCACGCGTTCTTTCGCAGGCAAACTTGCATAATTGAATTACTCCATTTTGTGTACGAGTCTTACAAAGTAAATAACTGCCGGATCGCTTCGTTCAAGTCATTAATGAATCGATAATGTTGACAGGTGGGAATGCTCGAGCAAGAATTCGCGATGGACGACACGTCATATCGGCGATAGAAAGTATCAATTAATTCTCGCGCTAAGACTTTTTCCAAGTACTCAAGTCCAAAAACGGCAATATAATGTCCAGGGCACGTATGCGCAAATTGGAGTCGTCGAGTGCCGTCCGTAAATCGACCGCTGACGATCGGGATAATTGCGTCACTAGTTTTAAGTCTCAAGGCAAACGAAGCATAATCGACATTCGCAGGAATAATCCCGGCATTTCGTTGCGGATTTCGCGTTAATTACATCTCTCGTTTGATCACGTACCGACTTTTAAATTGAACGGCCAGATAAAATTGACAGTTCATGGCAAATATAATTGGAAAATGCTGAATATGAAAATTTTTGGAACAGCATAATGCCTCAGAAACGCATGAGAAACGCTAATTAAACAACGTTGATTAACACAGCGAGAAAAATGTACTAGCATATTGATCGCAATTACTTTTGTAAGTGATATGAAAAGAACATTCTTACTGATATATTCGAGTCTTTCGCTGAGAATGTAAACTTACCGAGATTACTATTGTACAAGTTTAGTAATTGCAATCGTTGGCCAAATTCGAGTTAAATGTGCACCGAAATGCCGGATAGTAGCGAAATATGAGGGCGGAGCGACAACTCGTCCTCCTGTACATTCGTCGTACTTAAGCTGTTCTTGAACAACGCCTACAATGTATGTGATTATGTGTTAGAAGTCTTCAGTTCTCTCGAATGCTAATTAACGATGGGTTAGACGATGGTTGCATTTACGGTAATCGATGTTTGAACAGGACGGCCAGAAACGGTAAATATCGTAAACGATTTCTTTCGAGGATGAGCAGATGTACTAATTAATTGAAGTATTACGTAGCAACAAGTGTCAATTTATGCTATAAGCTTAAATGTACGCACAATTATTTCATAAAACAAGGTAGCTAAAATTCCTTATAATTCTACATTCAATCGCGTTTCCAAAAATTCTTTCGTATGTCGTTACGTTATAGTTTATTATATTACGCTAATATATCCAAAATTAGATTTTTTAAATATTTTAAATAGGTAAATACTTCTCATAACTTGATAATGTGCTTTGACAAAAATAATTTGTAAAATAGAAACTAACGTATTTATTCTCATGACAATAAGAACGCCAACATCCTCGAAGAAATAGATACATTTCGCAACAAATGTGCAATATTAATTTAAAAAACTCGGGCCAATAATGTGTCAAGTCATATGTAGCAATTAAAAGTAGCATCACAAATAATTTATAATTTCATCAAATATTATTCGGAAAAAGAAAATCTCATTTTACCTTTTGACTCAGTATATTCTTGATCCGAAATTTTCAGCATGTCATTTGTAGATAGCAGCTTGATTATTTTTAATAATTACGAATTAATTGCGATGCTAATTTTTCTCGCGACGTGTCCAACGAGTTGGACATTTTCTAGTCAATATGAAGAGAGAAGACTCCCATGAATATATATCTAACCAGAAGCAAATCGAAAAAGGTTAAGCCTGATACAACGAAACCGTGGATGAACGAACTTTATATGTATAGACAGTTTGCGTTAACAAGAAGGGGACCACGGCGAGTTAATTAATATATTCTAGACTCAACGATTGAATTGTAGCCGCTTCTAAGGATGTGAAAAAAATCGTTGTCTTATTTTATATTCTCGTCTGCTCTTTGTAATTATAAAAGTCGATATTTTAAGAAAACAAAACACATTCTCAATCATTTCCCCATAATTCAATAGAAAATTATTTCTTGAAAAAAAATCGGTAAAAGTTAATATTTCATATTTTAATAAACATGAAAAATTTTTCTGGTACTAAATAATTTCAAAAATTATATTTCGGTAAAGAAGTTAAATGTTTATTGACACGTAAGACAGTAAAATCTATATAAAAAATTATAAATCATATTACACTCATTCAATGAAAATGTTTAAAAATATGGAGAATTAATAATTTTAAAAATATTAGAAAAATAAATAATAAAAGAAAATCAATTGCTACTTCATTTCATCCACGATCCACAGAGAATGTATTAAAAATTATATTACTAAATTGTATATATTTATTGCTGTAGCTTCCAAATTTTCTGCGATCTCGTTCGTTGTAATAATAACTTATAAAATTACAGATATTTTAAATCGCATATGAATATCTTTTTCTATTGGCTGTGAATGGTGTCAATTTTTTGCACCCGCAGTTCCAATTCTACTTTGATTTCAGAATTTTGAAGGACCTCTAGCGTGAAAGTAAATTCATATAATTAAAAGAGTAAACTCTGGGCGGATGTAGGAGAGAACTGTAAACGTCGGACGAGCGATTTTCTACACTAGCCAACTTTACGGCAGAAAGTTAATGAAATTGCATGATGTTACCGTAGCGTCGACTAACCGACGAGTAATATTTTTTTTCTCATCGATCTTAGCAACCTATGAAGGAACTTTCAAGTAAAATATTCCTATTTAATTAGGTTACTAGTTTATAAAAAGGTCTACGAAAAATATTGAAAAGCGATTAATTGTTTTATCGGCCAATTCGATTAGTTAAAACACCAGTTTAATTTTATATAAAAATATCGCGATGCAACATTATAAAATAAAGGAATTTTGGTATATTTAATGTGTAAAAGTAAAAGCCCGAATATAATGCAATTTATCATAAAAGAAACAAGAATGTAAGGAGCAAATAATTTTCTCTTTTCCCTAAAATAGAGCAGCGAAACCAATGCGGATTTGACGCGACAAAGCAACTGGTGTAACTGCAAACACCAAGGGGGACGAAAAGATAAATACTTGGTGGAATCTCGACAGAGTAAATGGAATTTTACTGATTCAACATTTCAATGCTTTAGTTATTCAGAAAACGATCTCCAAGTTTATTCGCAGTGGGAACGCAATAACCTGAATTCTTTCTTATTCGTGGGGACAACTGAATTCACCAAAACGATATCAAAACGATATCAAAATGATCGAGCTATCGCGCTGCAATCTCTGACTCTAGGTACGTTTGTGTAGAAACGATCGATCGTCCGAATGTTACGCGTGAGAAGTTCGACGTCCCGCAATATTCAATGTCTTATAGATTAGATACGTTCGCAGGTAATGTAAATATGTATGTATGTATATGAGGCGCTTGTGTGCATATGTACAAACTTGGCCAAAGTGTATACATAGATGTTAATTACGTTGATGTGCATCTACTGGCGCGACGCGAGCTCTCGATCCTCTCGGACAGAACATACATATCGATCTTCATTGCGCTTAGGCAATCCTTCCCGAACGATAAGGAAAAACAAAAGAGCTATATTTGTTATAGATAAAATAGTAGAGCACGATAAAAAATATTTTGACAAGTAATCGATTAACATAACCGAGTGATTAAATGGATGTCGTGTTTAACGAGCACATCATTTAACTAATTCGTTGAATAATATTTCCTGTGTGAAAAATAATATATCAATTGAATTGGATTAAGTGCTAGTTTTCGCAACCGAATTACGTGTGCTGCGGCGAATTTAATGCTCGATTAGAGTGATCATCGATTAATAAAATAACTGTATAAGCAGATATAAGGCACAAGTTGAATCTATGTTTTCGCGAGAATTTCAATAGCGCGCTGGCAGGTCCAGCTGAAATGTTAAATGTTGATCGACAAAGTTAGTCAATTGTTGAAACAAGCTCTCAATCGAATGAGCATCAGGTTATTTATGCTAAAATCGACAATTTCCTTTTTTGTCTAGAAGAGATTTTCCTTTTATCCGAAAATTTATTTAGCAAATGCTCGAATAATTATTTCAAATAAGTAAAGCCCAGGTTAAATCATAAAACCATACGGGATTTATTTAAAGAAACAGATATCTGTACTTTGACGTAAAGTTATTGTAAAACATTTCTCAATTATTTCGTTTGGTTATTATGATATCGATCAAGGAAATAATTTTATGTTCAACTACTTTCTAATAAATTCCACGCGTAAAACTGTCGAGATGAAGTCGGAGCACAAATTATTCATGTTAACTCTTACTCGAAATTACAGTGCATTGCACCGTAAATTTCGGAGTAATCGTGTAAGTTCTTACGCCATAAGACCGTCAGCTACATGTTTTACAGCCTAGAAGCCCATTAGCGTCAAAAATCTAATCGTCCAAATAATGGCGATAGCCGTTAACTGTCGACAAGATTTATGATGTACTGTATCTTCATTTTTGCAGCAAAATTAGAAAAATCGATCTCTTAAAAACAAATACCTTAAAATGTCTAAGGTTCGACAAAGGCGATTTATTTTTCAATCTTTTTGAATAACTCGCATGTTAAACAGGCAAAGGATAGATTAATTAACATATAGCGTGCGTCAAGTGAAAGAATAGCTCGTTAACAGTGTGTTAAGAGATATTGTAAGTGATACTGTAGAAAATATCTCATAAGAATCGAGGTTGATCGATACTGAGAGAACAATCGATCGTTTCCCCTTTCAGATTTCCCTACAATTTGCCTATGACAGGGAAGCGTGGAAACTTCGTCTACAACGTCGATAAAACGTCGCGTTGATCCTAAAGTCAATATGTAATGTAACGATACGAATCGCTACGGAAGATTATACTGGCGGAAATCGAAAGTGCACGGAATAGAACGAAAAGTGTATTATTTATTATCACTCCGAAGAAAATGTTTCTGTAACTTTGATGGCCTAAAGTTTACTAACAAGACACATCAATATCATAGCCATAATTGCGCGCCGTGATTAACACTGATGATATAAAATAAATTTTTAACAAAATCAAACTGTCCCATATTTTTACACTCTACTCCCGTTCGGACCTTCTGTGACCAAATTATTTCTTTAATATAACATTTCTTTAATAATAAAACATTCGAAAAATATCATTTGTAATTATATAATTTTATTATGTATCTTAGTGACAATCTCCCGTCATCTTTATGTATAAATTTCCGCATCTGGTTACTTAATCTGCTGTTTCAATCAAGATTCGTATAATTTTGCAGTATAATTAAATATATTTTTATACCTTTATTTTCATTCGAATCAATTGCGCTTTTATTTTTGTAAAAATTAGTTTGAGAGTTTCTTGGTAATATCCTCGGAATGCTCCTATATCTAAAACCAGTCCTTTCTGTAAACTTGGCAAAAAAGAAACCGGTTTTCCGGCCTGACCCGCATTCTCACGGTTTCACTATTATTCTCCTTAAGAATCGACACAGCAATTTAACGCACGAACTGCCGAATGGTCTAGCAGCATGTAACTTAGACGAATGGAATGTTGTCAAAATTGGACTTTTGTTTTTCCTTTTATAAGGGTATTAAAATTAAATAAGGGACATTTCAATAAGCGGTTTTGGTTGGTAGCACTGTTATAGGTACGTGACTCAGCGGCCATTGGCCTAGCTGTATTTATACCAAATCTGATACGCGTATCAAATGGTGTATTTGGTCAGCCAATGGTTACGTTCAGCAGAAAAAACACTGCTTTGTTATTGTTGTAAAATTGATTGGAGTGTTAAATTCTGCCAAAATTAGGAACTTACGTCAACCAGATTCAAGATTCTTACAATTATATAACAACTTTTTCTGCTGAACGCAGCCAATGATTAAACCAAGTTACTGGTTATTTATCATTTGATACGCGTATCAAATGATTAAGCATAAACTAGGCTATTGAGCGGGAGCTATTTTATGACACAGAATCACCCTTATTATGTTTCTTTATAGTTTGTGATGTAATTATTGCTGCTGAACTTAAGCTACTGTATCTGAAAGCTGGCAGTATTGATCTTCACCGGAAGACAGATGCCATTAATAAAGGCAGAAGAACTCTTACTATATAGAGTAAAAATAAGTAATCAGAGTTTCTATAATATCCGTAGCAAAATGAATCGAAAAGCTGTCTGAATATATCGGATTGCATTACAACTACTTAGATATTACTAGACTGTCTGATTCAAGTCTTAAATATACTTTGCTGTATGGAATATTTAAAGGGCCTTTTATTAGCGACTTACATATAATTACATATAATAATGATATGCAGTTTCGTGTTTTTATGTAGCGTCATATTTTTTACTATACTATCTTCTCCTATTAAAATTTTATTAAGGATATAATTTTTGTATATGAAAATCACTATTTAATCATTACATAAGACACATTTCTAGATACTTTAAAATATAATTTATAGCGTCATGCTCGTGGTATTTAATTTCTTAATAAACTGATTGAGTTATTTGGAGAGATTTATTACAAGGATTGGAGAGAAGACTCGTCAAATTTCATAAAAATCTACAAGGTAAAATCTAAGAGGTGAAATATGTGTAAAATGTGAAAGGTAAAGTTTAACCGTGGTAACGTCGTAAATTCAACGATACGCTCTTTCAAATCTCCCACAGAAACTGGGTTACTAAAAAGATCAATACTTCATGTTACCCGACGAGTGCCAACCGCAGAGTCTACCACAAACTAGTTTCGCGACGAGAACTACTTGCTCCGAGTTGAAATGATAAAATGATATTGCGGAATAAGGTGGTCGAAAATAAATATCTACAATCGCCAGAAAATTCTTTAAAATTAATTTCCCTGTAGTTCACGCCACAAGATGTCGCCGGATTCGTTTTAAGCCTCGTCTACAATAGCGACTCTGCGACTGCGACCATTGTAGAGAAGGCTTTACCCGTCAGAGTAGCCGACCTAACCAAAGGCTGTCGTACTTGTCGCAGTCGACGATAGGGCATCGTGGCGAGCGCTTGGAGTATCAAGTGGTCGCTCACAAACAAATTTGTCGGCATTGGCTGACAATGACGTAACGAAAACACACAAAGCGTACTTTGATGCGCTACAGCGTCACGACGCCACTTGTCCGCTCGCGTATGTCGCGCCATTACTCGCCCAGACCCAACAGGCCGATTACGTAAAGTCGTCGATAAGATGTTTCGAGTCAGCGAACGGAGAATGGAGCAAGCGAGCGAAACGCGTGGCTTCAGTTTTACAGCGATTGCGTGTACGTTACCCACGTGTCGAGACGTTGCGCGTGTATCGCATATACTTTCGGAGCAGATGCGAGCCACGTGCGTGGACGAACCGCTGACTGCACAACAGTTCGTGTGCTTCTTAAATGTAACTGATTTATCAATGAATAACTACGACGGAAGAGAACATAAAAATTTACTGGAGTTCAGTGAAAATGAATAGTAGTGCAACTGACGATGATGCATTTTAATGTAAAAGAACACGATCTATTTCACAAAGTAGTTTTTATCAGACGTGCAAGTACGAAATTTCGTACATTTGAAACGGAATTGTAATTTCATGTGCTAATGTTCCCGTTAATCGAAAGAAACTTGATCTATGTAAACTTGCGAATATTATGTCGATCAAGCATAAATTGTTTTAACATTGTAAGTCAAAGAAGATAATATTGTGTTAATCAATTTCCGCGTTAATCAGTATTTTCCCTTCGCCGTTGATTTAAACAGAGAAAACTATTTAGCTCTTATTGAATTAACTGCTATTCTTTTACACGCATACAACTCTCATTTAATGTATTCTTAAAAACTCGCTGACAAGAAGCAATAAATGCTTATCAACTCTACCGACTTTATTGATTTTAATCGCATAAAATTAATTAATAAAAGTTTTAAAAAATTGCAACAATTATCTTGTACTTTTTATCTACACTATTAAATTGATCTACGTAATAAGTAAGTTAAAAATGCTGCTTCGGATAACGTTCACACATATCTACGGATTTACAATAGCGGTTGAATAGTGTGATATTCAAGGTATTATTTTCAGACAACGGCGTTGTGATAATTTTAGATTATATTATCAGATAAACAGGAGAGATCATATATACTACCATTCTTTGTGGTATCTCTCAGAAACAGTCCCGGAAAGCTAGACATCTGAATTTTAACATCCAAGTTGCAACGTTTAATTATCGTAAGTGATACGGCTTATATCTTAGCCGCAATTCTTGATACGATTAACTCCGGTTTGATATACATGTACGTACACACTGATCAACAAGTCAATCCGTTCGAATATCCAAACGAAAATGACAAGTAATCATGAGTAAGTAATAGAAACTTGAAAGTAGCAACATGGATGAAAGGTTTAGTTTCAGAGTTTATCACTTCTCAGTTTATCATATGTATATTCTCCTAAATAAAAATGAAGTAACTACGAGTTGATAAGAATAATAGAAGTTTTAAAGAAGCAACGTAGATAGGTTTATTTTCCAAGTTTATCGTTTCACAACTTATGTGTGTATTCTTCTGCATATTTATATTGGACACCGAGTCTTCAGTGAAACAGTGCAACTATTTTCTTATGTTTTGCGAATTTGCAACACCTGCCAACTTTTAATAACAAACTGTGAAAGCATATATTAAACTTCATTTAATTAACAATGTTCTACTAGTAGAATGTATCGCGGCTAATCAGAATGTAGGAATATATATCCTTCGCTGTTCGTAGAATTTTCTGTTAGCTATTATGTAGTTAAATGCACAACTGCAAGGAAGATATTTAACACAGAAAATTTTATTGTGTCTCTAAAATTTCTCAACCGATAACACGTGCGTTAAAGCCAACCTAATGCTGATACACACAGATAAAAGTATCCGTGGCATATTACGAACTAACTCAGCGAATTTCATGCGTAAACGCGAGGTATCCAGTAAAATAGCGGACTGTGCAAGACTGACTACGTAAAACAGTTGGAAATAATGGCTGAATAAGTTCAGTTGCATCGAAAATCTTTCATTCGAAAAAAAAGAACGAAGAATCCAGTGGGAACAAATAGCAATATGAAAACCGACAAGGCAAGTACATGACGCTTCGATTTAATTTCAAAAATATCGTTTTGATCCAATCTTGCATCCTCTTTTCTAAAAACATTTTTACAGCAAAAAGAAAATTAAGTCATTCTATTACGTATAATTTTAGGACACCGTCTTAATAATTAAAATATTCATTTTTCTCTAAGACAAAAATGTAAATTATTTATAATTTGCTGTCATAATCGTATAATACAATACAATGACTTAACCAGCGGCAATTTGCAGACGTCAATTTTGTATCTTAAATATTTTCGCGACGTTTTCATAAGGAAAATCTTTGTAGTTTTCTACGAAACTATATTGCTCCATTTTTTTACCAGCTATAAATACCGTCATCAATAAAAATATAGCCAGTACAATAATTAAATAAGTAGTAAAACGCGCGATAGTTTTAATTGAAAAAGAAAAAGAATTATATCAAGTATTTCTCATGTTTGTACACTGTAATTAATTCTTAAATATCCCGGCGTAAAATCACTCGAGTCTGCTATAAGGAATCTATTAGGATTTGTCGTCTTTTACAATTAATTTTGAGAAAGAAAAAATTATTGTAAAAAAATAATAAAATTGAAATATATGTAAAGAATTTGGCAAAGATATGCAAGGATTAAACAAACTGCAAATCGCAATGGCAAATTTATAATTGTGTATCAGTGACAATTCACTGTTTTCACTAAAAACTCACTGATTGACTTTCAGAGAGTACGTCATTCATCACGAAATTAAAATCGTTTAAATCATGAGCGTTGCTGATATTTCCTACTTAGATACGACATTGGACATAGGTTGAAAGATCAAAATTATATAGCTATCATAACACGAGCAGTACTGAAATGGAAACAGTGACTACGAAACGTTGATATACTTAGTGCGGTACAAGCTACGCGATACGCGTTATTGAACGCGTTTTAGTGTGTATTTGTGTGACAGAAAATATATTTATATAAATCATTAACTATAATTTAACAGTAAAATTGCAATTACAATTTTCCCAAATTTCTCAACTTTCTCAACCTTTTTGTCATCGTAAGTTTTAAGGGACGTTAATCATATTTTTAAATTTATTTGCTAGATTAAGTTTTGCGAAAGTGGCCTTTAATTTATACTGCATCCATTTTATTATTTTATAACTGACTATATTTTAATATTTATTTTGCAATTTCTAGGTGACGCCACAAATGGAATCTTTTCGTGGAAACAGAAACATGTGCAAAAAATACTTTAGATGGATAAAATATGTATCAGTAGAGCCGACCATGTGGCTCTTCATGATGGCGTTTATGTTCACGTCAGTCGTCGAGCAAGACTTTTTTAGGTATAAAGCATGTCGAGTGGATCACGGGTACTCTGAAGAAATTTGTATGAAGCTGAACGATGATGATAATAAAGAGATAAAGAAGAAAGTACAGGTAAAAATTACGTATATATAAAATAACCGAAAAAAAACGTAAAAACATGCGCATTGTATAGACACGTGGAGTTTAGTTCAACTTAACGGACCGTGAGATTGTTAAATTTGATCGGAATAGGTGCCGCTTATCGAGAAATATTCAGTACGACAATAGCACTTGCACGTACGATTATCTCATTTACAACTACAATGTAAGAAGAGCTTATTTACCAGAGTACAGATAATCACACGGACAAAAATATAATACCGAATGATATCAAAGTATATTTGTGAAAACCAAGTACGGATCACGTGAGAAAATGTGTACTCAAATATCCCCGAGTTTCGTTTCATGAAAATTTATTGGAAATAGAAAATTGTTAATAAAAGACTTAAAAAACTAGAGAAACTTTTCCGCATATTGAATTTGTTCTGAATGTTCGAAATTCAGGACAGCGTTTCAATGCTGATAATTGACTTCCACGCCGTCATTTTCACTTCATTCCGTTTCTCTGAGAAAAAAAAATTATCTTACAGCTAACCGTCTCGGAATTCCATATGTGGAACGACATTGCCGGGCATGCGATGCCTATTATCTTGGCCATGTTTTACGGCAACTGGAGCGACCGGCGCGGACGTAAATTGCCGCTCATCTGCGGCCTGACGGGCAAATTGCTTTATTCCATCATGATCGTCATCAATTCTACGATGAACACTTGGAATTTGAACATGGTAGTGTACACGGCGACTCTGCCGATGAGCATATTGGGCGGCGACGTCGCAATCTTCGGCAGTTGCTTCGCGTACATATCGGACGTAAGCTCCGTGCAACAAAGAACCATGAGAATCACGATCCTGGATATCGCTTATCTCAGTACCATGCCCTCGGGTAGGCACAAGTTTGCTCTCAACAAATTTTTATGCGAGGAGATAATTACTTTAATAATTATTATCGAACTACGACGTAAAGTAAAATTTTACGACGTCCTTTTTTTTATAAATACTGCACATTTATTATGGAATTTCTTCTCCGATTTCTGAGTTAAAATTCATGGATTGTCGATATTGTTGTTTTACAACTTTCATTCTGCGAATATGTTCCACGATTATATAAAAGAGTCAATCCATTGGCGTAATGTTTAAATAATCGTTCCCGTTTACTTCCGTTCGCAGGAGTTGCACTTGGATCATATGTGTTTACTCATTTAGTCAACAAGTCCTACACGATTATGTTTGCTGTAAATGCAACTTTACTCTCGCTGGCAATTGTGTATTCACTCGTGTGGCTCAAATGGCAAACGTCACCACAGCAGCAACCGCTTTCGGGCACCAACTGGCTGTTGGACTTCTTCGACATGCGACATGTCGCCACGACAATGCGAACGTTAGTGAAATCAAGGCGCAATCATGGCAAATTGCACCTCTGGTTGCTCCTGCTGGCGATGTGTCTATATACATTCCAGAGAGACGAGAAGCCGAAGAGCCAGATGTACACTAATTTAGTCTTTAAGTGGGACGTTGCAGATTTTAGCAACTTTAAAACGTTCCAATCGACTCTCTTCGTATTAGGTCAGTTCGACACATACGTAGACTCGATCCAAATTAATCGAATTGGCATTTCGCGAGTCTCGATGATATTAATTTGCAATATGCTCTGAATGTCGTGAGTGAAAGGAGAAATTTTTTAATCGAATTTGCAAGAACTTTCACTCCTGATTAATTTATGGTCCTGATTAACAACGATAATCAAAAAATTGCCAACTAATTGCGCGAAATCGAAATCAACCGTACATAAGGTTAAAAAATACACAAATTTATTATTGCTACGTCATGGAATTTGAAAGTTCGCCAGTTTTTCTGAAGTATTATTTCTGAATGACGTTAGAAATACGAAGACATAGTGCACGAAATATTTAAAAGAATTCTGTTCCAACAGCAATGCTTATCGGAGTGCCAATTATGAGTAAATTAATAAAAATGAGGGACACTTTCATCGTAGCTGTGGGAGCAATAGCACACGCCGCTGGAAGAGTGGTATTTGTTTTAGCGGACCGCCCGGAATTATTTTACGTGGGTAAGTAAGAGGACTTATGTCTCCCACTCAGTTATCATGTTGTTTTCAAATATTATACGGTGTCATTATCGTTAAATTTTTAATTAGAATATTACACGCATACTCGAATATTTGGAAATTATTTTATATAATAATTATTGTGCAGGCGCTGCTGTTGCTGCGCTAGGTCCCGTAGTAGCTCCAGTACTCAGATCTATGACTTCGAAACTTGTGCCTGTAGAGGAGCGAGGTGCGTAGCAATAATTACTACATCTATTTTTACAGCTAGACTGAAACCGGTTTAATCCCGACAAATTAATATATAGTTTTCACTTGTGTTGCTGTAAACATGAAACCTA